ACCTCCCATCTACCCATCCATCCATCCCCCCGTCACCTCCCATCCTCCTATCCCTCCATCCCTCTCACGCCGTCTATCCATCCCTCCCACTACACCTCCCATCTACCAATACTTTCATCCCCCTCACCCATCTATGCATCCAATCCCCCTCACCTCCCATCTACCCATCTCTCCATCCCCCTCACCCATCTATCCATCCATCCCCCCGCACCTCCCATCCCTCCATCCCCCTCACCCATCTATCCATCCATCTCCCCCGCACCTTCCATCCCCCTCACCTCCCATCTACCCATCCCTCCATCCCCCTCACTCATCTGTCTATCCATACATCCCCCCTCACGCCTCCGTCTATCCAGCCCCCTCACCCATCCATCCCTCCATCCACCCTATCTATCCCTATACAGTCTCTCTCTCTCCCCATATACACTGGTCTATCTTCATCCATGTTTTGGGGGGCAGGATACTGGGGTAGACTGGCCCAAGGCACTGATCCGGAGGGCAGGCGGGGGTGGGATACCGGGGTAGATGGGCCAGGGGGGCTGATCTGGGGGAAGGCAGGAGGCGGGATACCGGGGTAGATGGGCCCGGGCAATGATCTGGGGGGCAGGCAGGGGGCGGGATACAGGGGTAGAGGGGCTGGGGGGAGGCAGGAGGCGGGATACCGGGGTAGACTGGCCCCAGGGGCTGATCCAGGGGCAGGGAGGGAGGAAAGACATTGGGTTTGTCACCCCCATCTAATCCCCCCCCAACCCCTTACAGAGCTGGGACGGGGAGGGGTGTGGGCAGGTGCTGGGGGCTGAGGCAGGTGGGGAGGGGCCAGGGCTCTGATCCCGGATGGGGGAGGCAGGAGTCGGGGGAGGGGCTGAGTGGGATGCTCTGTGGGTACCTAGGGGGCGCCATGGGGCTGGGGGAGAGGTGCCGCTGACAAGGCCTGGCACAGACCCTCTGTATGGGGCACAGCGCCCCCGAGGGGCCTCAGAGCCAGCCCCACCCCACACTCCAGCCCCCTAAGCGGGGCACAGCGCCAGGCACAGTCTCTCCCCGCCCCCAATTTCTGGAGCCGCTTCGCCCCCTAGTGGCCGGTCCCCTGCACAGCAGCCGCACGCTCCGGTGCTGGGTTATTTGCTAGGGCCCGGTCAATGCAACGCAGCCCCGTGTCCTGGGGCTGAACGGCGGGGGCGGGATCCTGCATCTCCCCGTCTCCTGGCCTGGCCTAATGATCAGCCGGCCTGACACCGCCCCGGCCCCTGCACTCACCACGGAGCCCCGGCCCCGCTCCGCACCTCTCCGGCCGCGCAACGGGGGAAATGCCCGAAATAACCCTGCTGTGACCGGGGGGGAATCAGCCAGAAGCCCCGCGCCGCCGAGGGGCTGGACGTGCCCGGCTGGCCCGTGCGGCAGAACAGCCCCGGCTGGGGGCGCCCACCGCTTTCCAGTCGGGTCGGTGCCGGGAGCGCGCAGGGACCAGCTGCGAAGTACCAGG